TTGGTTGTTAAGCCCCTTGCTAGAGGAAGAGGGATAACGGGAATATGACAACGGATCCGGAGGAAACATAGAGAGGGATAGAGAGGGAAAGGGTGGCGGAACGATGTGGCTAGTAAAAGGAGGAGAGATGTGAGCGGCTAGGACAAAAGAAACAGAGAGAGATACATATATCTATAACCAGGGAAGCAATGAAAGAGAGAGAGAGAGAGAGAAAAGCAGAAAGAGATGAGAGAGATGGGGAGAGAATGTCGAGGAGGATGGAGGAAGAAACGGCAGACTGTCTTTGTTCCCTACCTGGGCTCTGCCCAGAAGGGCTCTTACTTTCTAGCTTAAAGGGGCCAGGCAGTGGACCCCGCCCCGGGCGGTTCCCCTGGTCCCCTGGGAGCGGTTCCCCCAGTCCCCTGGGAGTTTTAGTTTTAGCTTAGCTTTAGCTTAGCTTTAGCTTGGCTTTAGCTTAGCTTCAGCTTAGCGTTAGCTTAGCTTTAGCTTAGCTTCGGCTTAGCTTTAGCTTAGCTTCAGCTTAGATTTAGCTTAGCTTTAGCTTAGCTTCAGCTTAGTTGTTCCTTAGCTTTAGCTTAGCTTTAGCTTAGCTTTAGCTTAGCTTTAGCTTAGCTTTAGCTTAGCTTCAGCTTAGCTTCAGCTTAGATGTAGCTTAGATGTAGCTTGGATTTAGCTTAGCTGCAGCTTAGCTTTAGCACAGCTTTAGCGTAGCTTCAGCTTGGATTTAGCTTAGCTCTAGCTTAGCTTTAGCTTAGCTTTAGCTCAGCTTTAGCTTAGTGCTAGCTTGGCTTTACCTTAACTCTGGCTTAGCTCTGGCTTAGCTCTAGCTTAGCTCTATCTTTGCTTTAGCTCAGATGTAGCTTAGCTCTAGCTTAGCTTTATCTTAGCTTTGGCTTAGCTTTAGCTTAGCGTCACCTCATATTTAGCTTGGTTTTAGCTTCGTGTGAGCTTAGCTTTAGCTCACTTTTACTTTTAGGTCTAGCTTAGTTTTACCCTAGCTTTATCTTAGCTGTAGCTTAGCTTTAGCTTGGCTTTAGCTTAGCTCGAGCTTAGCTTTAGCTTGGCGTTCGCTTAGCTCTAGCTTAGCTTTAGCTTTAGCTTTAGCTCAGCTTTACTGTTACTACTAATGCTGCTTTCCTAGGGGTTCCAACTCCCAGGTAGGGTCGCACTGTTATAATGTTTTAGTGAAAAAAAGCAGGACCGATATGCACGCGCACCATAACAGTTATACATACGTGCACGTGCGCATGGCGAGCTCAGTCCTAATCGACCCTGAATCAGCGCAAATAGGGTCCGTGCCACATCTGGTGCGTGCTGGTCAGATGGTGGATGCTTGGTAAGGTAACGGTAGCGGGCGCGACGGCAACAATCATTACCTTGGCGAAGGGCCCAACCATGGGCAGTTGCGAGTGCCGTGGGGTGAATGAGACGGATGGGGTACGAGCACAAGGACGGATTGGGGCGCAGATCCTGACGGGCTGGCCGCCATGAGGGCGCTGCCAGTGGGGCCTTTGGTGGAGCTCCCCGTGGGGGCACGGAGCGTGTGAGGCCTGTGCCGACATGAGGCGGCGCCACCATGCGGGCGCCGCCGTTCGGACCCTCGGTGGAGTTCCCGATGGGGCCCTGGGACGGGTGAGAGGTGTGCCCGATGAGGCGGCGCTGCCAAGCGTGCGCTGGCACTGGGGCCTTCGCTGGAGCTCCCTGTGGTGCCACGAAGCGTGTGGCGGGTGTGCCGAAATCGCAGCGCGGAGAGCAACGCCAGGATGGGGAGGAGGGAAGGGGGGGAGGAGGGGGATGAAGGACGAACGCGCGCCGATGCGAATCAGGAGGCCGTCGCTGAATTCGCGAGGTGTCATCGTGTGGCCTTCCGGTGGGGATGGGCCAGCGTAGCGCCGACGCCCGGTCGCCTCGAGAGGAGGGCGAGGAGCGCGCGGGGCCTCCCGCTCGCGGGCCCCCGAGGCCGCTGGAAGCCGTGTACACGTCCTGAGCGGCGCGCTGGGCGGCTGTCCCTCAAGGGAAACAGTCAGAGCGCACGGGCACGGTGGCGCGCCGCTATCGGCCCGATACTGGCCTCCACCACCTCCTCCTCCTCCTCCTCCTGCTCAGGATGTGAGTCTGGCGAGGAACAGGTGCAGGAACAGCCAGAACAGCAACGCGATGATGGAACAGCAAACGCAGCCCCCTTCGCCCCTCCCACCCCCATTTGTCGCCCTCACCCCCAGGGCCCCCGACGTCGTGATTCTACGATCTGTGATTCCTGGACCTCTCACGGGGGCTCATTTTTCGACCTGTCTTTCTCGTTCACGGTCCAGGGGCACAGAACGGGCCCCAGTCTGCTTGATCGACCAATTCACGACCGAGGAGGTGGTTTGGGCTGGCCACCTCCACCTCCCCCCAAGAGTAGTATACTGGACATTGGAGCACGGACACTGGAGCAAAAGGGGGCAGGACGACGGAAGGTAGTATAGAAGAGATGCTCCTCCCCGACCTGTTCCGCCTCATCCTCCTTGCATTCGGTAGACTCTCCGATCGTTATCTTGGTCGCCCCCTCCTCGTTAACAGAATTTATTGCGTCTTCGTCGTCGTTCTCTTCCGCCTCGTGGATCGATTCGTTCTCCTCTCCCATCATTCGCCTCTTCGCTGTCCTTCTCCTCCTCCGCCGCTTCCGCGGGAGTCTCCCAGACCCCATCCAGATATTCATTTCCGGACGAGACTCAGTTGAAAACATCAGAAAGCCGCCGCCAGCTGCACAACTTCCTTTCCGCGTCGTCCTTCTCGTCCTCCGTGTCGCGGTGGTCGTCGTCGTCGTCGTCATCGTAGCCGTCCTTCTCCTCGTCCGTGTGCATTGCCTCCATCTCGTCGTCGCCGTCGTCGTTGTCGTCGTCGTCCTTCTCGCCGTCCTGCTCGTCCTTGCCCTGCCCCTCCCTGCCGCGGGCGCACTGCCACGGCCCACTCCCGGCGCGCTGGCGCGCGCGCGCGGGCACTGCCGGCTCCCAGCCGCCCCCCCTGCCTTCGGGGCGGCCTGGGGCCCTCGGAGCCACAACCGCTGGCCGGCCGAGGGGCCGAAAGGGCGGCCGCCGCGCGCGCGAGGAACCCGAAGGGGGCCCAAACGGGGGGGGCCCAGAGCGATGCGGTGGCCAGACCGTGTTCGGGGGTTGACAGACCTCCTACCCTGACACGTCGATTATTGAATTGTCCGTTTTCGGTTCTCGAGAGGGCGCCGCGGCCGTCATTTTCCAGGCTTGCGCCCGCCAGGTTTGGGCCCGAGGTCGTTTTTACTAAACCACGTTTTACTAAAGGGAGGTCTGTCCATCCCCGACATGTGGTGAGTCGGTGGGGGTTTGGGGTGACCGAACGGTTCAGGGACTCGGGTCGTTCTCCGAGGACGTCTCTGTGCGGTGACGTTCGGGGTCGCCGCACGGCCTGTCCCCGCACCGATGTGGACCCCCCAAAGAGAACTCCTGCGAGACACCATGTGGACTCCTACTTGAAAAATGCAGACTCCAACACTCATTGAGGGCGGTCCATTGGCCAAGTCGTAGTAAATCCCTTGCGCCAGGCACTTGATCAGTTCAAGCTTCCAGCAGCTACACGTGCGGAGGGCAACCCACTCTCGAGCTTTCTGCTGTTATGCCGCACTGTGTGCGAGTATGTCGACTTCGTTGGCGTGCGTTGTAAAATTGGTCGGTGATCAGGCTCTGCCAGCCTTCCGGTAGTCTGGGACCTCTCCTGGGCGGGGCCTCACGGGCAGCACCATCCCGGCCCCGGCAGAGAAGAGGGGATGCGGGCGAGGAGGGTGAGAGGAGCGTGCGAGAAGGGATGGGGGGGGGGGCGGGGCGAGACGGGAGCCCAGAAGGGCGGAGGAACGATCGATCGACGCCCCGCTTCTCGCTGCCCCGGTGCCTCGAACGCCCAGCGAGCCAGGCACCAGTGCAGGGGGACCTCTGCCCGCGGCCCTCCGCGCCCGAGCGCGGGCTCGAGCAAAGTCCGCGGGGGGGGCCCCGGAGGAGGTCGGGAGGCCACCGTGGGCTTCCTCTTTTCCTTGCGCCTGCTCGAGCTGGTCCCTTTTCCGTTTCCTCATTCCTTCTTCCTCCTCTTCTTCCTCCTCCTATACCTCCTCCTGCTCCTCCTCCTCTTCCTCCTCATCTTAGCCTCCCTCCCTCCCTTCCTCCCTCCCCTCTTCCGTCCTCCTTCCAGCCTCCTCGTTTAGTCATTATTCAACGCTCCCCTCGCCTCTTTTCGCTGCCGCCTCCGCCGTTGCGTAGGCTTGGCGTCGCGCCGACAAAGACGGATTGTAGAAACCGATTGTTGGCAGCTATTTGCGCAGCACTCGGGAGAAAACACGCGCGCGTGACTGGCCTTTCTTTGCTTCCTGCTAATCGGTACTATACATCCTGGAACATCCCCCACATAGCTATGGCGTGAGGTACATCTTCCCCGAGGCTCCACCTTGGACCACGATTGCGAGATCCAGAGGACCATCAAGACCATTTGCCTGTTAACAAGCAGATCCCCATCAAGCCAAGAACTCCGAAAACTGTTGGTTACTAGCCGAACTATTCACCACGAGATCACCTGACTGCGTCGCTTGCCTCGGGGGTGGTTGCACCTGGTGAAGGAGACTTGGAATGAGGCCATTTGGAAGATGACGTTGTGGAAACCAATAAGCCCGGGCCGAATGTCCACGCCTTAGTCAAAGTTCAAGGGAATTGAACATACAATCATCGAGACGTCTCCCGATGACTGCGTCAGCGATTCCGGCTCGGATCCTGCGCAGAATCAGAACCCAACGGACCCAACGCAAAGAGGCGCGTCGCCATCGGATGGATGCGGCGACCGCAAGGGCACCCCGCGGGCAGCCGCTACCAACGCGGAGGCAGACGAGGAATGGTCTGGCACGAGTGCCCCGCCAAGAGTCTTTTTACCATCATCCGTCAACCAGGCCTGCGTAATCAGTTCCTCCTCCGATGGCGGTATCACCGTCCTCCTCAGACGGAGAGGTGTTGGTCAACTCGACACCTCGCCCGGTTCAAGACGCCGCGACCGAGCATCCGTTGGGCGACGGTTCCGGGGTCTGCGGTCTTCGACCAGTGCCGGGCGTTGCCGGCACGAAAACAGGAGATCATCAGCCAGCGGTTTTCGATGGCTGCGTCGCCGAAGTCTTCTGGCACGAGCTGCGTTAGCGTATGGCCACGACGAGGGCTGCGATGCCAGACGTTGGCCACATGCGTTGGGGACACCGCTGGGGACGAGGAAACTGTTGCCCCCCCGGCGCCGCCACTGGCGCCTGCAGCAGCCATCGAGCCAAGAGTGCCAGCCTCCAAGCAGCCCCGGGAGGCCATCAGTCTATTGATGGTTTTTCCATGTGGAAAGCGTTCCGAGACTGACGACACCCCTGGAAGGACCTTGTTGCCAGGTTCGGGGGGTGACTTCGGGGACTGCGTTCCTGAGCCTCCTCCTCCCCCGCCAGTATTGCCTTCGAGGGGACCGCGCGCAGAGGATCTGAACTGGAGCGCAGCGAGGAGATCCGCCCCTCGCACTCGCCGGCGCTACGCGGCACCGACGCGCGGCGTGGTGGGCAGGGGCCCGCCGGGCGCGTCGACGTCCTGCGGCCCGGGCAGCGCGCTCGAGCGTGTAGCTCCCGCGAACCAAGGGCTCTTGCGCGAGCCGAGGCCCCACGGCGCGCCCCAGCCTGACGGCCTCCCCTCGTTCCCTGCTTGCCTATTCGCACTGGTGGTTCCCATTTCCCCTCCTCCCTCCTGCTCCTCCTCCTCCTGCTCCTCCTCCTCCTCTTCCTCCTCCTTGTTCTGACTCGGGCTAAGTCGGGCCTGTCCCTCTTCAGGGGGGAATATTCAAAAATAGTCAGACAATAGTATGGCGACTATTTTTGCAATATTTGTTTAGCATGTTGGAGCATGTTTTTTTGTACCTTTTATTTTTCGCCGAAAGTCCCCCTGTAGGGAGACACGCCCGACTTAAGACTAGGGCCAGCCCGCTGAGCGTTCGCCCGATGGCAATCGACGGCGTTGCGCGGTCCGTCGGCCTTCTCAGGTTATCTCTCCGCGGGGGGCCCGCGTCCCTCCCCGTCGTCCTCCTCCTCGTATCCCTCCTGTCGGCACCGCGCTGTGGCTTGGCAAGCGCCCGCCGCTGGTAGATCGAAGGCGGCCGGGTGTGCTCATCTCGAATGTGTTTACCCGTTGGTCTGGGTCAGGGACTTCGGCCCGCAGGCCAGAGGGACTTTGTCAGCGTCAACCCAGAGAAGTTGCCATCGTTTTCAGCGTTTGCACGACAGGCCCGCATCCGTATTTTCCAGGGGGCCCTGCCAGCATTCGGGTTAGCAGACCATGGACCCCCAAGGGCCTTAGCCTCTTCTTTATCTTCGCTGTTTCGTTTTACCATACTTCCGCACCGTTGCCCGCCAGCGAATGCTTCTTTTGTCCGTCACCCAAGCCCAGCAGTTGATCGACACCGTGAGGTTGACGGTGCGATTCCCGACGTGGGGTCGACAGCGGCATGTTCTTTGCCGTGCCCCTCTCGGCTCCATCGTGGAGCAGGCGCGTGCTGCGGGAGGCGGGTAGGCAGCGACATCTGGATTCATTCGGCCACGCTCCAGCTCCTCTTCTTTCTCGCACCCGCGCAGAAGGCGGCCCACGTCTGTGCGCCGCCTTATCCAGCCGCGACTATTGTCGTCGCGACTTTCGGCCGTTTCACACGGGGCGCGGGTCTTTTTTGGTTTTGCGCCCGGATGGCTCGTTGGCAAGGGGCCCCAGGACTTTTGCAGGAAAGAAGGTAGCTCCTCCTCCTCGTTCTCCTCCTCCGCTCTGGATCCAGGACCCTTGGCCAAGGCACGAGGGTGCATACATCGCTTTTGGCCCCAGGATGGGCCTGCCCAGTATCCGTATATGCACAATCGGTGGCTCTGGAGGTATCAGGACTACTTCCGTGGATGTCCCCCTGCAGGTGTACGTCGGAGGATTCTGGAGACAAAATACGCGCCGATACGTAGCACCACGCAATTGCGGATAAGAGTGAGGGGGCGGGCGCGGGCGACGCGGGCGTCGAGCCGGCGGACCTCGTGGCCCTCACCTTCCCTGTCGATGGCGCCCTCCTCCTCCTCCTCCTCCTGCTCCTCCTCCTCCTCTTCCTCGTCCGCGTCCTCGTCCTCATCGTCGTCGTCGTCGTCCGCCTCCTCCTCCTTCTCCACCTCCTCCCTCTTCCTCCTCCTCCTCCTCTTTCTCCGCATTCTCCTTACATCCTCTCTTCTACCGCGTCCTCCTCGTCCCCTGTTTACTCCTCTGCCTCGCACTTCTTTCTCAAGATAACGGCAAACCAATCCTTTGTTCCACTGAATGCTCCCCGACTTCTCTTATCCAGGCAACTCGCCAGGGTAAGGTTGCTGGATGGGTTAATGTGGATGAGCAGAGGTCTTGGGGGGCTCAGACGGAATGCAACATCCGCCGCCGCGCTTGTGCGGCACTGGCGTGCTGTGCGGTAGGGGTCGTGGAGGCCCCCCTCAGGAGGGTCCTTGAGCGCCCCGAGGCCCTTTAATTGCGGGCGCCTTGAGGCAGCTTCCCCTGAAGCCAGCACGGATGCCGAAGTGCAGCAGGCATTTGGATTGTCAATGAACATGTTCAGACACAGTCCCGCCGCAGGCACCGATGTGCTGTTGTAGAGTCAGCGTGGGCCGAATCGGGGGAATGGCACGAGGGCGCTTTCCCAATCCACTGCGAGCAAGCCCGCCGCAGGCGCCGATTTGCATGCTCTGGTCGGCCACCCGGAACGAATGCAAAAACAGCCCGCCGCAGGCACCGAATTGTTGGCTTGTTCAGTGAACATAGTTTGGGTCGTGGATGGGTCGCGGGCTCTACACTTCCACCTGTAAGGAATTCAAAAGCAGCCCGCCGCAGGTGCCGAAGTTTTGGCTTGGTCAGTAAACGTAGTTTGGGTCTCGGGTGGGTCGCGGGCTCTCCACCTCCACCTGCAAGGAATTCAAAAACAGCTTGTGATTTGTACACTGAACGCGGTTTGGGTCGCGGGTGGGTCGCAGGTTCTCCACTTGGAACGAATGCAAAAGAAACCCGCTGCAAGCGCCGAAGATTTTGGGTGGGTCGCGGTGGGTCGCGGGTGGGTCGCGGGCGCGGTTTGGGTTCGCAGGTTCTCCACCTGGAACGAATGCAAAAGAAACCAGCCGCAGGCGCCGAGCATTTTGGATGGGTCGCGGGGTGGGTCGCGGGTGGGTCGCGGGTTGGTCGCGGGTGGGTCGCGGGTGGGTCGCGGGTGGGTCGCGGGTGGGTCGCGGGGTGGGTCGCTGGTGGGTCGCGGGTGGGTCGCGGGTGGGTCACCGGTGGGTCGCCGGTGGGTCGCCGGGGGGGTCTCGGGGTGGGTCGCGGGCGGGTCGCGGGGTGGGTCGCGGGTGGGTCGCGGGTGTGTCGCGGGTGGGTCGCGGGTGGGTCGCGGGTGGGTCGCGGGGTGGGTCGCGGGTGGGTCGCGGGGCGGGTCGCGGGGCGGGTCGCGGGTGGGACGACGACAACAAGAAAAACAACAACATTAAGAATCCGCATCGCGAAAGTCCACTTCAGCCACGCACCCAGGGACAGTGAATGACCGTTCGGTTCAACCCCCTTACTCTGACCATGCAAAAGTATCCCCTCCACGCCCAAAGACTGGTGTAATTCTGTCAATTTGCTGATGCCCGCGCGCGGGCTGAGTGCTCCCCCTGCTTCTACCCATTCTCCCCCCCTCTTCGCCCAGTCCTCGCTGCCGTTGGGCCTCCGCTCAGTGTATCAGAGAAGCGCGACGTCATGATAATGATACGTTCCAAGGCTGTTCGGGTTCCTCGGGTTCCCAGGTTTCCCGCACAGGCTCAATCAACGAGAGCGGATGACTCTCCACGAAGATGAGTCCGCGCGTCCCTCAAGATTCATTACCATCTCGCTTACTTGCTAGCTGCTCCAGAACTCCTGGGACGCATCCAGAGGCAGCCGCATCATGACGCCAGTCTCCCCCCCCCTAAAGTACGTAGTTGCAGCCCTCCTGGCCAGGCAGATGGTCCGTGCGGCGCTGCTGCCACTCGTGGCCGCGCTGACTGCCGCGGCGGCGTCGGGCAGGCGCACCCGTGCGCAAGCGCCGCGCGGCGCGGTTTCGCCGGTTGCCGCCGCCGCCGTGGTGGTGGTAGACGCCGCCGTCGTCGCCGCCGCAGCCGTAACCGCCGCCGCCGTCGCGTCGTCGCCGCCTCCGTCGCTGCCACTGTAGCTGTCGCCCGTCGCCGCCGCTGGCGGGTGTCGCCGTCGCCGTCGCCGACGGTGGAGGAGAATGAAAAGGAGGCGTGGGAGGAGGAGGAGGGGGAGGAGGAGGAGGAGGAGGAGGAGGAGGAGGAGGAGGAGGAGGAGCAGCAGCAGCAGCAGGAGCAGAGGAGGTGTGGGAGGAGAAGGGGAAGGAGGAGGTGGAGGAGTAGGACGAGGAGGAGAGGAGGTGTGGAAGGAGGGTCGCGCTCGCGGGAACGAGCTCGGGCTTCCGAGTTGGCGCCTTGGAGCCCAGGGTTCCTTCTTGAGATGCTTCGCAGAGGAGTCGAAGGACTGACCTCTCGCTCGGACCTCGACGGACGGCAGGCGGACGGCTGGTGGAAGTAGACAAGGTGGGCCTGAGGCCAAGGGTTGAACGATTATGTTTCTCACAGCAGTTCTGGATCGTTCCTGGCAATATTCCTGGACAGTTATGTTTGGTGTTGTGGTCGCTAGTGTTGTTGTTGTAGTAGTTATTGGTGTTGTTGTTGGTGTTGCTGTTGTATCTGTTGTGTTAGTTTTTGTTGTTGGTGGTGGTGTCGTTGTTCTTCGTAGTATTGTTGTTGTTGTTGTTGTTGTTGTTGTTGTTGGTGGTGGTGGTGGTGGTGGTGGTGGTGGTGGTGGTGGTGGTGGTGGTGTTGTTGTTGTTGCTGCTGGTGTTGTTGTTGTTGTTGTTGTTGTTGTTGTTGTTGTTGAACATTATTAATTCTAAAGAATAATTATTGTTGGGACCCCTGGTGCACGGCCCCCGTGCGCCGCCTAGGCCGCAGCTACATTTTCATCATTTTCGTGAGGAAGCCTCAGGTAATTCGATGTGATCAAGATCCGGTTGTTTTGTTCCCCCCCGCTTTCCCTTGCAAAAAACACTATAAAATGACATTTCTTGTTCTAATATAATCAAATTTCAAGAATCCTTGCAAAAAATAAGGTAAAGTGGACATTCGCGCGCGCAAGACGAAATCCTTCCAAAAGCTTAGTGTTCGGAGCGATTTCAACATAAAAACATCAAAAAACCAATGGTTTTTCAACAAAAAAATGTCAAAATCTCATCCCGCGCGCTCTTGCGGATTCGTAGGAAACCCAACACTTTTTAAACATTTCTGTCAAACGGGCTTTTGCGAGCAACTTTTTCGAACTTCTGCGACAACGGTTGCGCACCTGCCAGGGCCATCATCCCTGTCAAATAATACCATGCGGGACACATTCGTTTTTTCTTCGCGCGCGCACGCCGTCGTCGTCGGCCGCGGGGCCCTGAATAGTAGCCACGGTCGTCCGCATGCCACGAAGTGAAGTGTCCGAACGTCATAGGGCGGGAAGCTGGGTGTGGGTGGTGGCGAAGAGTCGTTTGGAAATTTGGTAGAGCTTGAACCGGCCCCCCCACAAAGTGGGGGTATTGCCCGCCTCCTATGAAAACCCTGGCACTGGTGAGAACGGTGTGTCCCCACGTGCTAGTAATTGTTGCTGTTGTTGTTGTTGTTGTTGTTGTTGTTGTTGTTGTGTTTCGTATTGTTGTTGTTGAACCTTCATTTCTGAGCACCGAATTTCTTGTTGATCCCCCCCACCGGTGCATACTGTTGTTTCTCAATCAAGATGTGCCCCTCGACGCTCGCACCTATTTTTTTCTGACGTGGGAAGTTTTGCTGCTCAAACTGGGCCCCCCCCCCCCGGGATTACAACAACAACGGCTTCCGCCTGAGACGTCGTCCAAATTTACTCAGGACCCCCGCTCCTGAGACTTCCTCACGATTTACTCCGGAATGGTGCTCCCGCCTGTGACTGCCTCGGGATTTTGTCAGGACCCCCGCTTCCATTTCAGATTTCCTTACAATTTACTCAGGAACAGCGCTCCCGCTTGAGACCTTCTCGCAATTGAATCAAGATTTCCTTGCAATTTAATCCAGACCCCCTCTCCCGCCAGAGAACCCCTCACATGTTATTACGGATTTGCGCTCTCACCTGTGACTTGCATGCAAAGTATTCAGAAATCGCAGTTTCGACGCTCAGCAAGCACGCTGCGCCAAGGACGCCGCTACAATTTACTCAGTAATCGCGCTCTCGCCATACTCAGGCATCCCGCTTGAATGTCCCACCCGCCCGACCCGCCCGTCAGAGGATCGCCCGCCCGTCGTGGGCTGCCGCCCGAGACTTCCTTATGGAATGGCGTTTTCGCCTAAGACTTTTTCGAACGTTCACGCTCTTACCTTCCTGCTCCTCCTCACTCTCCCTCCTCCCTCCTCCCTCCTCTCCTCCCTTCTCTCTTCCTCCTCTCTTCCCTCATCCGTATGCATATCTGCCCTCTCCCTCCTCTCCCTCCTCTCCCTCCTCCCTTCTCCCTCCCCTCTCCTGCCTCCTCTCTCCCTCTTTCTCTCTCTCTCTCTCTCTCGTTCTCTCCCTCTCTCTCTCTCTCTCTCCCCTCTCCCTCTCTTTCCCTGCCTCTGTGATTTTGTTTGTGTTTATCTATTTTTTCTCTCTCTCTCTCTCTCTCCCTGTCTGCCTCTAGTGAAACGCCACCCTCTTCGCTCCTTTTCTCCTGGCGTTTTCCCTCTTCCTTCGTCCCTCCCGCTCCCTTCCTCCCACTCTCCATCGTTTTCCCCTTCCTCTTTTTGCAGGGCCCACACCAATTCCAATGGCGGGCAAATGTACGCCCACGAAGGATTGTCCGCCCGTTTAGGTTTGCCCGCCTGTCTAAGCCCGCCGCCCCCCGCAAAGAGAATAATCCCCTCAAAGGGGGTGTGATCGAAGACAAAAGGGACTGGTATCGAAGGTGTGGGGAACTCGTTTTGAATGACACGGTCAAGTAAGAGCGAACGGTCTTGTAATGATTGTTGTTGTTGAACTCTCACTCCTGAAGAATAATTATTGTTGGTCCCCCTCACCGGTGCATCTGGCTCTTCTCCGTCGAAGTGTGCCCCTCGACGCTCGCACCTGTGGCATTGGCCCCCTGGACCACAACAACAACGGTTCCCGCTTATGACTTCCTCCGGATTTACTCAGGACCCGCCCTCTCCCGTTTGAGACTTCCTCCCAATTTACTCAGAAACGGCGCTCCCGTTTGAGACATCCTCACAATTTAGTCCGGGTCAAACTGCGTTGTTGTTCCCCTGGGCTACAACAAGAACGGCTCCCGCCGGAGACTTCGTCCAACTTTATTCAGGACCCCCGTTCCCGCCTGAGACATCCTCCCGATTTTCTCAGGATCGGCTCTCCCGCATGAGACCTTCTTTCAATTTAGTCACGACCCCCCCTTCCGTCTGAGGCTTCTTCGCGATCTAGTCAAGAACGGCACCCCCGCTTTAGTTTAGACCCCACTCCCGCCAGACACCCCCTTTTCAGGAATTGCGCTCTCGCATGTGATTTGTTTCGCGGTCTATTCAAACATTGCGCTATCTACGGACAGGCACCACGCTCGCGCCAAAGACGCCGTCACACTTTACTTATGAATCGTTCTGTCGCCCTACTCAGGCATCCCGCTTGAATGTCCCACCCGCCCGACCCGCCCGTCAGAGGATCGCCCGCCCGTCGTGGGCTGCTGCCCGACACTTTCTTGTGGAATGGCGCTTTCGCCTAGGACTTCCTCGAACGTTCGCACTCTTACCTTCCTGCTCCTCCCTCCCGGGCCGCCTCTCCCCTCCTTCCGATCCCCTCTCCCTCGCACGTCAGCTGATGTTGAGCATTCATCCGTGAAGAATGATTCCTGTTGGTCCCCCCCACCGGTGTGCATTTTTTCTTAGTCAAAGTGCGCCCCTCGACGTTCGCAGCTACCACTATGCGGCAGCAGCAGTCGTGCAGCAACAAAGCCCGCGGCCCCTCATGGTTCCTCTCGCCCATCCTGGCCCTGCAGCGCTCAAGGAGATGGCATCGGGCACCACACTCGCCTCCAACACTTCGCCGAGCAGCACCAAAGGTGTTACATGGCGCCACCCATGGCGAAGCCTTTGCTACCCTGTGTTGGAATGGCTGGCGCAAGCCATGGCGCAAGCTGAATCGCAACTCATTGCAAAAAACCATCGTCGTTTCTTAATATTGCCCCTCTAATCCCTCCCTTCCTCCGATCCCTTCGTCCTCTGTTTTTGTCTCTTCCTTTTCGTTTCCCTGTTTAGGGGCTTCTCGAACTACACGTGGCCAGGAAGGAACATAACCCCCCAGAAAAGGGTAGGATCGAAGACGAAGACCGCGGGTATCCAGGGCTTGGGATATGCATAGTGAATGGCACGCGGGCCAGTAGGAGCGAACAGTCTTGAAATGATCGTTGTTGTTGATGTTGTTGTTGCTGATGTTGTTGTGGATGTTGTTGTTGGTGTTGGTCACCGCCAACCAAGACACCCCAACCCAACCCGAAGGTCCCGATTTGCCCTCCATGTCCAGGGGGGTGCACATATGAAGCCCCCCCACACGAACCCGAAATTCAAACGAATTTCAGGTATTCGGGTTTGGTTGTGGTGGCCCCTCTCGTAACCATTGCATGTTCCCTTTGACTTGCCCCTCCCGGGACTCGCACCCTGTTTTGTTTCCTGGGGAAATCTTGAGGGTAAAATTGGGCCCCTGGCCCCCGAGTTACAACGACAACGGCAACGGTTCCCTTTTTGATACTTCCCCATAATGTTTGAGAAATTCGGCTTTCACCTGGGACTCCCTTGCCATCTTCTGAGGAGTCGCGCTCTCGCGTGAGACATCTTCGCAATGTACTCGAAACGCCAGGCCCTCGGCACTCAGGGATCACCTGTGTTTTTTCCACGATATATTTGGCAATCGCGCTATCGCTCGAGATTTCCTCTTGAGTCATGCGGGCCGCGCGCTTCAGCAACCCGCCTGCTCGATCTGGACGC